ACATAACATTTTGGTGTCCTTATAATAAATTCAGGACGTAATCCATGACAAATCATCGCTGCTAATTCAGCATCAAATTTGTAACCATCGAAAGGTCTTCGGCCAGTTAATATTTCTATCATAATAATCCCAAAACTGTAAATATCAGCGACTTGTGTAAACTGCTCACCTTTCAAAACCTCAGGTGCTAAATATGGCAACACTCCATAAATATGACCATCCTGTTTTTCATCACACGATATTGATGAATCCAAATCAATATAAGCTTCATATCGTTTTTTTAGTAAAATATTACCAGAATGTATATTTCGGAGCATAAAGTTTTTAGAATGAATATCTGATAGATCGTTAATAATATCAGATAATATTTTTAGTTTAATTTTCAGCCCCAATTTAAATATATCATTAAGATTTTCACCTAATTTTGCGTAATTTAACACTAAAATAAAATCTCCTGCATATTTATTCATTAATATGCCATAGTATTCACCAATTTCGTCATGCGCTTTTAACTTAAAAATAAACAAATTATATTCAATTAATTCATAAATAATACCGATTTTACGCGTAAAAAAATGAAACCAAAATACCTCGTCTAAAAAATCTTTTTTATTTTTATGTGAATCTTTAATGATCTCGATTGCAACTTCTTCAAATGTTCCATATGCTGGTTTATACACTACGGAAAACCTACCTTTACCTACATCTTCAATATTTCTAAAATCATCGTATTTTATCCATTGGAAGTAGTTTTCATGGATATTACAGTCGTGTCCAGCAATAGCAGATTTTAAATACCATTCAAAAGCCAAATCTTTATTCTTTTCCACACCAATTCCTTCCTGATAACACCAACCAACTTTATGCATTCCACAGTATTCTCCAAAATTAGCACTTTTTAAATAATATTCAAAGGACTTTTGCTCATCCTTTTCAACTCCATATCCATTTTGGTAACAAACTCCAACATTATACATCCCACAAACGTCCCCCATTGCTGCAGATTTTTGAAAATGTATGAATGCCTTATGTTCATCCATTATAACTCCATACCCATTAAGATAACAACATCCAACCTGAAAAATTCCATTAGCGTTCCTCATATTTGCAGATTTTTGAAAATACATGAATGCCTCATGTCGATTCTTTTTAACTCCAATTCCATATCGATAACAAATTCCAACTCCAAATAAACCAAGAGAATTACCCATATTAGCGGATTTTTGATAATAAATGAATGCCTTATGTTCATCCTTTTCAACCCATTTGCCATAACGATAACAAATTGCAAGAATGAATTGAACAATAGGATCTAATTGATTATCTAAGCAATATTTAATAATATTATCGGGATTTTGCTTTTTTTTTGTTAGAAATTGTTCTAAGATGTTAAAATTTGACTGAAAACTTTTGCCTTTCGTAAGTCCCTCATTATACAAATCATACATATCTTTAATAATTTCATTAAGGAAATCCTGTGACTTATTTTCTAAATACAATTGATCAACATCGTTGGATATTTTGGTAATATCTAACGGGCTGTCGTTTTTTTCTGGCCTTTTTGCAATTGACATTTTGACGCAATGAAAGAAATGTTGCGTATACGTACGTACGTACGTAGCAAATTTATTATTGATATATATCGATATGTATCGATATGTATTACATTGCGTAACGTTAGGGTGATCATCAAACTAATAAAATCAAATCATAAGTAGGCGTACATATTAAATTTACTATGTAAGGATTTTT